CTCGCCAGCAATATCACACATTTTTATTGTAATGAAGATACTTAGTTGATAATGATTGCCAGAATGAAAGACTCCCCTTAAATTGAGCCGAACTTTGGAGAAGTTGTGTTTTCTTAAATAAGCAGCCTATGCTTGAAGGCAGAAATCATTTAAGGACTGGATTATTAACCCCGCTATAGGTTTTAAGGTATTGAAACACATCCTGACCAATAAGGTTTCATCTATTTTTCAAATTGTAATCCCTTAGGGCCATTCAAATAAGAAAATATTCCAAGTTATTGGCAAGAACAACAGTAGTAAGTTTTTGTCCAAGTACAATAGAATTGTATTTAAAGTATAATGGAACTCTATTTCCTTGGGTGCAAGAAATAAGTGACTGAAATCATGTATTCTAGCTAATACAATCATATCAAAAAGGTAGTGACAACTAAACCTAAGGCCTTGAATAACTGAAATAGAACCAATAAAGCTGGCTATTGAAACCATTCCTCTCCCATTGATGTCATTTTAAAGTTGTTAAAGAAGAAGTCCTTCTCTTTCTCCTATGGAAAAGATTAAGACACAGTACTCCGATGGGTAATCTGTTAGGTGTTCAAGAATCTTACTGAAAAAGTTTACAAATTTGAGGCTGGAAGATGTAGAAAAGTTTGATTTGTTAGTTCCTTTTTAAATTTTTTTTGGGATTAGTAGTGCCTGACAAGATCAATCAAGAAATATTGTTGCTATGCCGGTAACAACCCTCACAGTAGAATGTAGTTATTAGTGCTATTTAAACAGTTGTAATTTTAAGTTAGTTGAATTTTAGATACATCAAGTATCAACAAGAAGATTAATATATATTTACTTTGATTTGAATAAAGACATAAATCACCTGTTAAGAAAAAAATATTATTATTATTATTATTACTTAGATAAAAATTATTTGTAAATAAAAAAATTAAATTAATTTTAATATTTTAAAAAAGTTTAATAGTTTTTATAAGATTTAACAAGTCAAATAGAAAAAAAGTTCAATTTTTTGAATTTTGTTAATATATTTATTTTTAATTTTTGCAATGGTTTATTTAAAAATTAATAAGTTTTTATTAAATTAATTTTTAATAATATTAGTCAACTGGATCAAGGCAGTAACAGAATTCTTAATTACATTACATAATCTGATTTGAAAACTATACTGTTCTATAGTTAACATCTTATCTCTTATCAGAATTAAATAAAATTATATCAGACTTTTCAGTTTATCCAATTCTTTCAAATCAAAAAACAAGAATATCTTATAAGTTAAAGATATATCCAACATTAATTTACAAGAAAATATTATTATTAATTTGTCTTTTATTATTACTAATGTATTTATTAAATTTAAATATAACTATTTCAAATATATTTATTGTTTTTTTGATGTTAGAGTGAGACATTACTCATAATCTTTAATAATAAAATAAAAGTTTAACTTGTTACATAATTAATATTAAAATATGAATTATATCACTATAAATATTAGCCTATTACCTATAAACAAATATATTATCTGAAAAATCCTTAAGTAAGGAAAACCTGAAAAACTATTTGTTATAAAAAATAAAAAATAAAAAAACATTTGAGGCAAGATTGCCAGCTTTGTAAGACAATTGAATGAAAAGAAAAAGAAAAGAAAAAATTGAAACTTTTGTTAAATATGATTCTTGAATGCAATTAGGTATTTCAGTTGGGTGTCAGTATTATGCAAGCCATATGTAATTTGATAAGTTTGATTGTATAATATTTTGTGGTATTGTTGTTATATAATTTGATCATATTGTAATATAAATAATAGGATAACTGGAATATATTCTAGATGTCTATTATATTGTTTTGATAAGATATTGTGTATTGTGGTTACCGAAATCTGTACAGGATACTGATTATATGCTTTTCCAATTTAGTAAGTTGTTATATTGTTTTAGTATATAAAAGTGATACAAAATGTGATTGATGTTTTATATGTTATAGATTATTTAATGGAAGTAAGCTAGTTATAGTTTTTGTATTAAAATTTGTGAACAAGAACTAGTAATTAACCAGAAGATTATATGAAATCTAGTACTAGTTATCATCAGTAGAAAACAAAAAAACTTTAAAAAATAAAATGTTGTCTCTTAATAACAGTTAAGGGACATTTCCCTACCGTTGTTGTTACACACAATATAAATTGTATTATAAAAATAACATTTTGAGTCTTGATTAAGGGAAATTTCTTGTGACTAATAATAAGATTGTTTTTAAGTTAAGAATAAGAGATGTGATTGTTTTGTATCAGTTATGTGTAGAGATGGCCTTTACATAGAAGATTTTCTTTTTATTCATCTTCTCTGTTCCAAGTTATTATCTAGTACCATTATCAATTACTAGACCTCTTAGTGCAGGCCATTTCTGAAACTCTAGGGGCCAATCTTATTCTTGAAACCCCATTGCTCTAAATCAGTCCTCCAGTCTATATCACCTTTCCAAAAAACATATTCTGCTAGACAAAGTTCCTTGAAAGAAAGAAGTTTTTTAAAAAGGCAATTTTCTATAGATAAAGATATGAAAAAAAGTTTTTTTTATTATATTTATTGTTTAACATCCTTATTTTTTAATTTTGATTTTAATTCTTTTAATACTAAGTATATATTTATTGCTACTCGATACTATCTAACAGAATATTTTGTTTTAAATTTTCTTTTCAATATTAGTTATATGATTATTATAAACAAGTTAATATTTAACTAGTTGTATTAATATATAAGAGATGTTTTTTCTTTTATAATATATAACTTGTTATATACAAATCAAATAAAAAAATAAGTTTATTTACAAAAAAAAAAAAAAAAAATCTTAATGATATCAGTTTTGCTTTAATAATGGTGAAGTTATTAGAAAACTTAATTTGTTTGATTAAATAAAACTTTTTGTTTAAGATTCTTGATAAGTTTTTTAATTTCTTTTTATATAATATATATTAATAAAAAAAAGAAAAAGTATATTTAACTTTATATAATTAAATAGAAACTGTTTTATTATATAATTGTTATTTTTTAAAAACTAAATTTCTTATTTGAATTTTTTTATACTATTATTAACAGAAAAATATTTGACTGATTTAATTAATAGATTTTTATATAAAAAAGAAAAATATAACTTTGATAAAAAAAAAATTAAAGTATAACTTTAAAAGTTTGCTTAAATATAATAATGTTTTTTGAGTTTATTAATATAGAATTTAAATTTGTAAGTTTATATTTTTTGAATAGTAAAAAAAAATAATTAATTTCTGAATTGAGATTTACAGACTTGTTGAAAAATTCTGATTTTTAACAAAATAATTAAAAAATAAGAAATTAAAGTTATAAAAGATTCTAAGACTACTTATAGTTTTGTTTGATTTCTTGTTTAAAATAATTAGAATTGTTTTAAAAAGTTTAATTGAATAGGTTTTTTATAAATTTTATAAATTTTTTAATAATTTTTGAAAAAAAATTAATAAAAAGTTAAATCTATATTTAAGTAGTTAGACTACTTGTTAATATTTAAAAAATATAAGATTAATTAATTTAAGATAAATAAATAAAAAGGTTTTATTTACCCATCATTGTAGCTGACTCATACATCCAAAGTGGATTCAACTTTACTAAGTGTATCTTCAAACTAATTTCAGATCTTTCTAATTTTCTTCCATCTAATGCTAAGTAGGTAATCATAGCTGTTTAGAGCTGCTTGACGAAATATATTGTTTTAAAAATTTCTTTTCAATATTAGTCTAGTAGTTACTGTAGGCAAGCTAGCATTTAACTCATTGTACTAATACATATGAGAGATGTTGTTTCTTTTACAATGTATATCTATTATTATACAAATAAATAAAGAAATGATGTTTATCTACAAAAAAATAAAAATAAAAATAAAAAGGTTTTATTAATTATTTTTTTGATTTTATTTCTAATAGTTCTTATAATATAATCTAAATCATTAATTTGAAAATAGTTTAGATATATATATTTTTTATATTGTTTTTTAATTGTTTATTTTTTATAAAAATTTTAAAGAAGTTTTAATTTCTGTATTTAATTTTTAAAAAATATCTTTAAAAAAGCCAAATTGTTTGTTTTTAATTTTTTAAAAAAAATTGAAAATAGATTTAACTATTTTTTTATACTTATTAAAATTTTTATAAAATTATAAAATTTTATTCTACTTATTGAAAGAAATAATATTTGATATTAGACAAGTTAATAATAATAATAATATAATTTGTTTCTAATAATTAGTTGAATTTATTAATTTAGAAAGTAGAAAAGAATTTCAAGATCTTTACTAATTGGCTTAAGAAAAAGTACTTATTAATTTTCTATATTTGTAATAAAGAATTATATTATTTTATATATATAAAAATAATAAATATAATGTAATTGTAAATTGTAAATATATATATATATATATATATATTGCCTCTAATCAAACTGCAAATGAAAGTATTTATTAATTCAATTTGAAAAACAGTAATACAATACATATAATATTATACTAAAGCTAAACTAACACAATTTTGCAGAATACTTGTCAATAAGTTTAGATTTGTATTAAATCTAAACTTTCTAGATATGATTATAGGGAATAATAATATTATTTCTTTTCAAGACAAGGCATCTGAAGTCTATATCTTGAAAGATCACTATCAGTCTATATTCAGATTGTTATTCCAATATGAATCTGTAGTCCTAAGAGGTAAAAAATTTTATTTTTTAAGAAATTAAAAGTGAAAAAAAAAAAAGGTTTGTACTGGTAAAACAAAAACCCTTCTTAACTACTATTTAATCTGACTACCTGCATTTAGGAAATCATTTAATTTTCACTATTCTATTATTGACCAAGAATATTTAAGAGCATTTCCAAAAGAGTATTTCTTGAAATTTTATACTCGATAACTTCTAACCTTTAGAAAGGATTGATATTTATTATTTTACCAATGCACCTTTACCAATCTATATTTTATCCTTTCGATACAGGCCAACGTTACACAATGCAACTTTCATATTACTCTCTACCTTACCAAAAACAAAGCCAAACTCAGAAGTGTCCTCAGATATCTCTCCTGACACAACTATTCCGACGCGTTTAGATTCCAATCGCGCCGCAGACCGTCGTCTTCTAATATCTTTTACATATAAAAGTTTGCTTACATCATTTAACAAAACAATGTCAAAACTTACTTATGAACAAGGGGTGAATGTCCATCCTCATTTTTATTGCTGGATACTTTCGTGATAAGAGAACCACTGTTGAAGATTTAATGTTGAAACAAGATGAAAAAATTGTAAAAATAGTCGGATCAGGTGAGTATAAAGTCTTTGAAGATTATCTGCGAGGAAGAAAAAAAATCGAAGGAAGCTGAGGCCATTAATAAGGATTAAGGCAACAATGTATTTATTTCTTTATATAAGACATTCATTCATCTAATGAGATTTTTTGTTTATTAAGAATCACAAACTTTAGACCAATATTTATTCGACTAAATTATTACTGCCTAGATGGAATACTTTGTAGAGGGAAAAAGAAGCAGACCATATAAGAGTTTCGTTTCAAATACTGTTTTCCTACCTCTAAGAAATCGACCACGACCATTTCTTTATTCAAAATTTTTACTGCGTGTCTACTTTTCAAGTGCAAAACAAGATCTTTATAATCAAACAAGCCCAAACTCGTTTTTTTCTTTTCATTTCCTTTGTTACAGCCGATCCCAATGCATAATTTGCACAGAAAAACGCACCTATTCATCAATCTAAGTTTTTTCATACCGCCCACGGTAGTAA